GTTGAGGCCAAAACATTGAACATTTTCAAGAAGGATTTAGATATGATTCTTGGGGCTAAAGGGATTTAGATTTAGATTTAGATTTAGATTTTATTGTCACATGTACTCAAGTACAGGAGTACTTTGAAAAGTGTGCAAAGTTGCTATTCACTGGTACCATCTTAATAAGACTGAATTAAAAGCAGAAGCAGAAATAAAAGAAACAGACAAAAATGCAGATCACTCCCCCACCTCTGCTATGAAAAACAAAACTACAAAGTCCATTCCTCCATCTGTGACACTCAGCCCCAAGTCCCTATGTGCCGCCACATCCACAACACCACCACCTCCATGATCATGTGTCCGGGCCCTGCCATGGACTGGAGCCATGCCACTGCTACTGGAACTAAGTTGCCATTCTTGGCGCTATTTTCCCTCCACTGTTGTCACTGCTGTGAGTCTGCGCTGGGCTCAAACTTGATGCTGGGCCCACCACATCAAAGCAGCCAGTGCCTCGCTTTGTCTTACGTTGCTGCCGCCTCTTGGGACCACCATTTCAGCAAAGGAACTTGCTGCTGCCGACACCCAGGGAGGAACCACTCCCATCACTGCCAGCACTCTGGAAAGGAACTTTTGTCTCACCGCCGCTGACACTTCGGGAAGGGGACCGCTCCCACCGAGAAAGGAAAGAAAAAAAGAGCAAAAGTAAATGAAAGAGAGAAGTGAGAAAGAAGTGGATGAGCCCTGGGCTCAGGAACTGAGCCCAAAAGGTATGGGGAGAAAGTGGGAACGACGCACTGAATAGGATGATCAGCCATGATCATATTGAATGGCAGAAAAGGCTCAAAAGGCCAAATAGCCTTCTCTTGTTCCTTTTTATATGTTTCTCATTTCAACCCAGATTTAAGGTGATTACAAATGAATCAATGTCATATAATCATCAATCATTCTGCTACTGGAAACAATCTCTGATTTACTATTTTAAAAATCTGCCTTTTTTGTTCTTTGCTGTAGTGAGGAAAAAAATAGTTTCTCTACTCTCCACATAACTGAAGTCTTTCACCCTGGTTGCCATCCTAGCAAATCTCTTCTCTACTCTCTCATTGGCCTCAACATTCTTTTTAAAGTTGTGTTTCTCAAGATTAGCCATAATACTCCAGCTGCAACCTCCTTGGTGTTTACAAAGATTTAGCAAGACTTCCTTGCTTTTGTACTCTCTCTAATTATAAAGCCAAGGCTTTCACATTGCTATTTTTTTTTAACCAGCTGTTTCAACTTCTCTTTCAAAGACTTGTGTCGATCCACCTCCAATTTCCCCATATCCATCCCGCCAGAATGAATCACTTAACAGTTCTTTGAACTATTTTTATACCATATGTCTATGTCCTCCTGAAGTCTGTTACAATCCTCTTCACTGTTAAGCACGTTTTGAGTTTCATATCATGTACTGATTAGAAGTTATGCTTTTTATCCTCAAATCAACCTCCAGCCTGAAAATCAACCATTTGCTACTGCTCTCTTTGTGTTGCCTAACCAGTTTCATATCCACTTGCCTATTGCCACTTTCATCCTATTGGCTTTAATTTTGTTAATAGGTCTTATTATTTGTATATCATATGCCCTTTACGAGACCATATACATCAACTGTTATACCCTCATCTGCCCTCTTTTGATATTTCCATTAACTTAGTAAAGTTAGTTAAACACTTCTGCCGACAGCAAATTCATTTTCATTTATTAACCCACAGATGATACTTTGGCTGTTAGCATTATTTATCCAGAGGAAATTGTGACTCGATCTATACTAGATATTGGGCAATCAGTTGCAATAGAGGTAGGTGGAAGCACAGTGGTAATGTCACTAGATTTGTAATCCTCAGACCCAGGCTAAAGCTGTGAAGAGTCCCACCATGGTAGCTGCTGGGATTTAAATTCATAGCATAATATCTGGAGCATAAATCTATTCTTGGTACTGGTTATGACCATTGTTGATTATTGTAAAAATCCATCTGGGGAGGAAGTTTGCTGTCCATACATTTGCCTGTATGTGACTCCAGATGTACAGCAATGTAGTAGACTCTTAAAAGTCCTGTGAAATGGCTGAGTAAGTCATTCAGTTCAACAGTTGCTGGCTTTGCCATGTCCCATGTGAATCATACATTTTAAAAAAAAACACACAATGAGAAGGGGTTGAGAGAAACGGTGGTCAGAATGTCATTGGGACACTTACAAAAGCTGGCACCACATCTACAGATGGTATACCAGGTTGCACTGTCTTATGTCTCAAGAAATGAGAGATCTTGGGAAGTGATTGCTGAGCCCCTTGGTGAGATATTTGTATCATCTATAGCCACGGGTGACATGCTGAAATACTGGAGGATGGCTAGCATGGTGCCGTTATTTAAGAAAGGTGGTAAGGAAAAGCTAGAGGAAATAGAGACCGATGAGCCTGACATTAGTGGTGGGTAAGTTGTTGGAAGGGATTCAGAGGGACAGGATTTACATGTATTTGGAAAGGCAAGTGCTGATTAGGGATAGTAACCATGGCTTTGTGTGTGGGATATCGTGTCTCACTAACTTGGAATGAGATTTTTGAAGAAGCAGCAAAGAAGGTTGAAGGCAGAGTGATGGATATTGCTGTGTGGACTTCAGCAAGGCGTTCAACAAGGTTCCGCATGGTAGACGGTTTTGCAAGGTTAGATCATATGGAGTACAGGAAGAGCTAGCCATTTGGATACAAAATTGGCTGAAAGGTAGGTGACAGAGAATGGCGTTGGAGGGTTGCATTTTAGACTGGAACATGTGACCAGTGGTGTGCCGCAAGAATTGGTACTGGGTCCACTGCTTTTTGTCGTTTGTATAAATGATTTGGATATGAATATAGGAGGTATGTTACTAAGTTTGCAGATGACACCAAAATTGGTCATGCAGTTTTACAGCGAAGAAGGTTACCTCGGAATACAACGGGACCTTTGTCAAATGGGCTGACGGGCTGAGGAGTGGCAGATGGAGTTTATTCTAGATAAATGTGAGGTGCAGCAGTTTGGTAAGGCGAATCAGGGCAGGAATTACACACTTAATGGTAAGATCTTGGGGAGTCTGGCTAAACAAAGAGATGCTGGGTTGGACTTGTCCTGCTTTTTATGTACAAGATATATCTGGACAGTTTTCCACGAGATGTCAGTGTTGTAGTTATACCGAAACACTTGGCTTGGAGAGCAGCAACTTCTGGAGCACAGGTCTTCGGTCCTATTGCTGGAATATTGTCAGGGCCCAGAACATTTGCAGTACCCAGTGCCTCCAAACATTCTTGAAATAGAAACACAGAAAACAGGAGTAGGATTCAGCTACTCGGTCCTTCTTACCTGCTGTGTCATTTAACTGGGGTTCAAGTACCTAGCTCTTTGAAACTTGTGTCACAGGTAGACAGGGTGACTAAGAGAGCATTTAGCACCTTGGCCTTCATTGCTCAGACCTTTGAGTATAGGAGTACAGTTCTGGTCACCCTGCCAAAGGAGGCATTATTAAATTGGAGAGGATTCAGAGAAGATGTTGTTGGGATGGAGGGTTTGAGTCAGGAGAGGCTGGGTAGGCTGCGACTTCTGTCACTGGAACATAGGAGGTTGAGAGGTGACCTTAGAGGTACATAAAATCATGAGGGACATAGATAAGGTGAATAGGAAAGATCTTTTCCCTAGAGTGGGAGGGTTCAAAACTAGAGAGCATAATTTAAAAGGGAGTTGAGTGGCAACTTTTTCATACAGATTGTGATTTATATTTGGAATGAACTGCCAGAGGAAGTGGTGGATGTGGGTACCGTTAGAAAATTTAAGACATTTGCACAGGTACATGAATGGGAAGGGTTTAGAGGGATATGGGCCAAATGCAGGCAGGTGGGACTAGTTCAGTTAGAGATACTTGATCAGCATGGAATAGTTGGGCCGAAGGGTCTGGTTCCGTGCGCTGAGTCTGTGACTCCATTAATGCAATTTTGTGGTGCTAATTCAAAGTTCCTTGAAAGTGGAGTCACAGGTAGACTGGGTAGTGAAGAAGGCATTTTGGTATGCTTGCTTTTATTGGTCAATGCATCATGTATAGGAGTTGGGAGGTCATGTTGTGGCTGTACAGGACATTGGTTAGGCCACTTTTGGGAATACTACATTTAGTTCTGGTCTCCCTGCTATAGCAAAGATGTTGTGAAACTTGAAAGGATTCAGAAAAGATTTCCAAGGATGTTGTCGGAGTTGGAGAATTTGATCTATAGGGAGAGGCTGAACAGGCTGGAGCTATTTTCCCTGGAGCGTTGGAGGCTGAGGGGTGACCTTATGGAGGTTTGTAAAATCATGTGGGGCATGGATAGGATGAATTGCTAAGGTCTTTTCCCCAGGATAGGAGAGTCCAACACTAGAGGGCATAGATTTAAGATGAGAGGGGAAAAATTTAAAAGGGGTGGGCAGTGTGCTAGTGACAGTAATAATCAGGTCTGTTCAGTTTTGGTAATCCAGTGATCAGTCAAGTCTGGTTAGTGGGTGGGAAGTTGGGTCTGTTTGTGGTGGGTGGGAAAGTCAGCTCTGGTCAGCGTAATGAGTAAGTTGTGTCTGATCATTGCATGGAGAGGCGTGTGTTGGTGGTTCGGATAGATGCATATGGTCAGGTGGAAATGTAGTCTGATCTGGTTGCGCTGGCATGAGGGAAGTTTGGACTGTTCGGGGAGGGGGTATTTGAGTGTGGTCAGGTAAGAGGGTAATGAAGAGCCATTGCAGTCTGATGGGCCAAATGTCCGTCTTGTATATTATAAGCACATGAAACCTTTTAATACGTAGTTGTTGAAGCCATGTCCACTGATTACTGTTCAAGAGAACATTTATATAAACATTGAGAAAAAAATTAGCGAGGAAAACAGACAATGTAGAAGCTTCTAATCGGGGAGCTAATATCTGTTCTTCTATGATGGCTTGAATGGTCTGTTTCATATGAAAATTTGCATGATGTTCTGTTTATTCCTGTATTTTGGTGCACAGAGAGAAAAAAATGAAATCCCGTGTTCAAGAATTGGTAACTGCTTTAGAACGAATGACAAAAAGCAGTGAAGTGCGACATCAGCAGTCTGCCGAATTTGTTAATGACCTCAAACGAGCAAACAGGTATGTAAGTTGGTAAAAGAAGAATAATTTTAATATAATACTTTTCCTGGTGGAAGATCACATGTTATTTATATTTCTGCACCATTTGCTAATTGGAAATAGGATTGGTGGTAGGAAGAGAGAGCCAAAATGAACATAGGCCCCTTGGAAAATGTGCTGGGGAAGTAATAACGTAGAAATAGGAAATAGCGGAGGAGTTTTAAAAATTACTCAGTTTTACTGTGAAAACTGATGCCGTTGGCATTCTTAAAACACTAAATAATCAAGGGGCAAAAGTGGGGGAGGAAATAAATAAGATAATTATGATGGGAAAACAAATTCTGGGAAAACTAATGGAGCTAAAGGCCGATAAGTCTTCTGGACCTGATGAATTGCATCCACGGATATTAAAGGAATTTATTACAGAAATGGTGAATGCACTGGTAGTAATCTCCCAGGAATCATTATGTCCTGGACAAGTCCCAGAGGATTGGAAAACTGCCAACATAACAACTTCATTCAAAACGAGAGGAGCCAAAAAGTGGTATCTGTAGGCTACTTAGCTTAATCATTGGCAATATATTCAAATAAGTTACACTTAGACACAAATAACATAAGGAAGCAGAGTTAGCTTGGTTTCATAAGTAGAAATCATGTTTGACAAATTTATTGGAATTTTTTTGAGGCGGCAACAAGTCGGATAGATGAAGGGGAGCCAGTACCTGTAATATATTTGGATTTCCAAAAGACGTTTGATAAGGGATCACAAGGGAGGCAATGGCCAAGTGGTGTTATCATTGTCTGTAAATCCAGAGACCTGGATAACATTCTCGGGACCTGGGTTCGAATCCTGCCACAGCAGATGGTGGAATTTGAATTCAATAAAATATCTGGAATTAAGAATGTAGTGATGACTGTGAACCCATGGTCGATTGTTGGAAAAACCCATCTGGTTCACTAATGTCCTTCAGGGATGGAAACTGCCATCCTTACCTGGTCTGGCCTACATGTGACTCCAGACCCACAGCAATGTGGTTGACTCTTAACCTCCCTCTGGGCAATTAGGGATGGGCAATAAATGCTGCCTTGTCAGTGAAGCCCTCATCCTGTGAATGAAGAAAAAAAACAAACACAGCCCATGGTGTTAGAGGTAGTAAATTAGCATGGATAGAGGATTGACTAAGTAATAGAAGACAGAGTCGGGATAAGGGGAGCATTTTCAGGATGACAAACCACAACTCGTAGAGTGCCACAGGGGTCATTGAGAGGGCCTGAGGTTCCATATACACACACACAAACCACACACATTATTGTCAAGGTTGGGGATGACACAAAAATAGGTAGGAAAGCAAGTGGTGAGGATCACATCAAGTCTACAGAGGGATGTAGACTGGTTACGTGAGTGGGCAAAAACTTGACAGATGGAATAAAATGTGGGTAAATGAGATTATACGCTTTGTTAAGAAGAATAGAAGAGCTGAATAAAGACTGCAGAAAGCTGCAGCATAGAGGGATTTGGATACATTTGTGCATGAATCACAACTGGCATTAAAGTTTAAATAATCGAGAAAAGAGATCGTATATTGGATTTTATTTCAATGGAAATGAAGTACAAAAATAGGGTCGTTTTGATGAAAGTGTACAAGGCACTGGTTAGACCTCATCTACGATCCTGTGGACAATTTGGTCCCTGATCCCAGGAAAAATCTATTGGCATTAGAAGCAGTCCAGGGAAGGTTCACTAAGTTGATCCCAAGGATGGACAGATTTACTTACGAGGAGGGCTTGATTAAAATGGACCTGTACTCATCGGAGTTTAGAAGACTGATAGGTGATGTTATTGAAACATGTAGGGTTCTTGCGTTTTTCAGGGTAGTTGTTGAAAGGTCATTTCACCTTGTAGAGAGTCTGGGACTACAGAACATAATCTTATTATAAGGGGCCACCTATATAAGACAGATGGAGAGGAATTTTTTCTCTTGGATTTATGAATCATAGAATCCGTACAGCAGGAAACAGGCCATTCAACCCAACAAGTCTGTACCAACTCTCCGAAGAGCATCCCACGCAGAATCACTCTCCTACCCTATCCCTGTAATTCTGCATTTCCCGTGGCTAATCCACCTAACCTACACATCCCTGGATACTATGAGCAATTTAGCATGGACAATCAACCTAACCTGCACATCTTTGGACTGTGGGAGGAAACCGGAGCACCCGATGGAAACCCACGCAGACAGTTACCAGAGGCTGGAATTGAACCCGGATCCCTGATACTGAGGCAGCAATGCTGAATCTCTCTTCAACCATCATACCCCCAATCCCTGGAATCAATCTAGTGAACCTCCTCTGAACTGCCTCCAACGCAACCATATTCCTCTTCAAGTAAGCGGACCAAAACTGAATGTAACACACACTAATGTTTTGTATAGCTGCAGTAACACTTCCCTACTTTTAAACGTTATACTTCTGGTAATAAATGCCAAAATTCCACTTGCCTTCTTTATTACCTGCTATACATGCATACAGCTTTCTGTGATTCATGTATGAGGACACCTAGATCCCTTTGAATTAAAGATCCCTCCGTACTTAAGCACTTTGAAGTTTCTTTCCGTTTACGTTGAAGCACTTTGAAGTTTCTCCCCATTTAGATAAGTTGCTCTTCTGTTCTTCCAACCAAAATGGATAATCTCACATTTATCCACGTTAAACTCCATCTCATTTTGTATCCTGTCCCTCCAGAAATAAATCACGATACTCTTTTCTTATCAGCTCCTGTTTATTTTTTGATATATGTACCTAGCTTAGCAGGTTTCAATGCTTTATCTTATTTGGTTTCATACCTTCTAGTAAATAACTTGAATCTTTTATTCTTTCTATCAACATTAATTATTTCATACTTGGTTAATTTAAATTTTATTTGCCATTCATTGTACACGCTCTGCAGATCTGTTTGTCCTTTTTTTTTTGCTGGAGTCCACTACTTTATTAGCTATGTTGCTAAATTTGGTGGCATCTGCATTTTTTTGATGACGTATCTTCATTTTCTTAGATTATAATGCATATTTAAAATAAATGAACAAACACTGGCATGGATCTCTTCCAGACACCATTTTCTGCTAATTCAATTCTCCTGTCCTCCAGAGGAGTAATTCTATTGTTGCATACTAGTCTTTGTGTTTTAATTTCAAATTCCAGCATTTGTTCTTTTTGTCATCCATGATTGTCCTCCACAGCATGTAATTTTTATTTTAGAATCATAGAGTCATTCAGCATGGAAACAGACTCTTTGGTTCAACCAGTCCATGCCAACCACAATCCCAAACTAACCTGCCTGTGCTTGGCCTATATCCCTCCAAACTTTTCTTACTCATGTACTTGCCCATATGTGTTTTAAACATTGTCACTGGGCCTATAGCCACCACTTCCTCTGGAAATTCATTCCATAAACAAACCAGTCTCTGTAACAAAAAAAATGTCCCCAATGTCTTTTTTTAATGTCTTTCTTTTATCAGTAAAAATATGTCCCCCAGTCCTGAAATCTGTCCCCCACCCCACGGAAAAGACACTTGCCATTCACCTTTCTCGATACCCCTCATCCTCTTTTAAACTTCTATAAGGTCACCTTCCAACCTCGTACACTCCAGTGGAAAATGTCCCAGCCTACCCAATCTATTTTTATAACTCAAACCCTCCTTTCCTGGCAACATCCTCGTAAATCTCTTCTGAACTCTTTCTAGCTTAATAATATCCTTCCTACAATAGGGTTATTTTCTAAAATAAAAATACTTTTTTTTTCTTTTTCTTCATCTCACTGTATGTTGCTCTGATATGATTAACTCTCTGGAACATTTTCTATGTGGCATTTTTACAATGTATGAGCTGAGATGATGGATGTCTGCACAGTATTTGGCCAAGCATGATCTGATTCACATGTGACATCTAGACGTTTTCTGGTAGTTAAGATCTCTGTCAAGAGAAACAAATCTGGCTGACTTGCTTCTCCCTGCCCTTTCTTCCTAGAGTGCTGAGTTCACTTGTAGCATCCTAACTACTGTCACGGCTGTGATCAATTAATTCAGCACAGACTACCAATAGGACCTTGAACTTTCCGGTCTGCATGACTTAGTTCCACACTATGCACTAGGAATTAAAGTGGAGAAGAGTTTTTTTTTAAAAATATCTATCCCTCAGTTTAGGGTGGGGGGGTGAACTGTCTAGCACATTGGGACTTAGCACTCTGATTTTCCATCATTGGGACTTAATGCATAGAATTATAAAATCATACAGTACAGAAGAGGCTGTTTGGCCCATTGAATCTGTAATTGCTGAAAATACAAACCACCCACACTTGTCCCACTTCCTCACAGTAGGCCCATAGCCTTGAATGTTATGACACTTCAATTGCTCATCCAAGTACTTTTTAAAGTTTGAGGTTTCCCACCCTGGACCCTTACGACCTTCTGGGTGAAAATCGTTTCCTCCTCCTTTCACTTTAAAATTATGCCCTCTTGTTATTAATCCTTTGATTGAGGGAAATAGCTGCTTTCAATTCATGCTGTCCATGCTTCTCATAGTCTTATGCGCCTGGGGAGTGTTGCTGAACAAAGAAACCTTGGAGTGCAGATTCATAGTTCTTGAAAGTAGAGTCATAGGGAGATAGGATAGTTAAGAAGGCTTTTGGTATGCTTACTAATAGTGATCAATGCATTGAGTATAGGAATTGGTAGGTTATGTTAATAAGAACCAGGAGCAGGTGTGGGCCATCTGGCCCTTCGAGTCTGCTCTGCCATTCAATAAGATCATGGCTGACCTTTTTCTGGCCTCCGCTCCACTTTCCCACCCTTTCACCATAACCCTTAATTCTCTTACTGTTCAAAAAAAAATTATCTATCTTGCCTTTAAAAACATTCAGTGAGGAAGCCTCAAGTACTTCACTGGGCAGGGAATTCCACAAATTCACAACCATTTGGGTGCAGAAGTTCCTCCTCAATTCAGTCCTAAATTTGCTTCCTCTAATTTTGAGGGTATGCCCTCTTGTTCTAGCTTCACCCGCCAATGGAAACATCCTCCCTGCTTCTATCTCATCCATTACCATCAGAAGTTTATATGTTTATATAAGATGCCCCTCATTCTTCTGAATTCCAATAAATATAATCCCAGTCTACTCGATCTCTCCTTATAAGCCAATCCTCTGAACTCCAGAATCAACTTAGTGAATCTCCTCTGCACTCCCTCCAGTGCTAGTGCATCCTTTCTCAAGTAAGAAGACTGAAACTGCACGCAGTAGTCCAGGTGTGGCCTCAATAGCACCCTATACAGCTGTAACATTACCTCCCAGCTTTTAAAGTCAATCCCTCCAGCAATGAAGGACTAAATTCCATTTGCCTCTCAATTGTCTGTTGCACCTGCAAACAAACCTTCTGTGGTTCATGCACAAGGATACCCAAGTCCCTCTGCACATTAGCATTCTGCAATTTTTTTTACTGTTCAAATAATGTTGCGACTGTACATGACATTGGTCAGGCCAGTTTTGGAATACTGTATGCAGTCCTGGTCTCCCTGCTACAGGAAGGATGTTTTGAAACTTGAAAGCGTTCAGAAAAGATTTATAAAGATGTTGCCAGGGTTAGAGGGTTTGAGCTATAGGGAGAGGCTGAATAGGCTGGGGCTATTTTCCCTGGAGAATTGGAGGCTGAGGGGTGACCTTATAGAGGTTTATAAAATCATGAGGGATGTGGATAGGGTAAGTAGCCAAGGTCTTTTCCTTGGGGTGGGCAAGTCTAAATAAGAGGGCATAGGTTTAAAGTGAGAGAGTAAAGATTTAAAAGGGATCGAAGGGGCAACTTCTCCATGCAGAAGATGGTGCGTGTATGGAATGCGTTGCCAGATGAAGTGGTGGAGGCTGCTACAATAATAACATTTAAAAGGCATCTGGATGTCTATATGAATAGGAAGGATCTAGAGGGAATATGGGCCAATTCCCGGTAAATGGGACTAGATTAATTTAGGATATCTGGTTGGCATGAATGAGTTGGACCGAAGGGTCTGTTTCCATGCTGCACATCTCTATGACTCGATGACCTCTAACCCCTCCAATTTCTCTGCACCAAAGGAAACAACCCGAGCATATCCAGCCTCTCCTCTTGCTGAAATGTTTCATCCCAGACATCATCCTGGTGAACAAAAACAGATTTTGCTGGAAAAGCTCAGGAGGTCTGGCAGCATTCGTGAAGAAAAGATCAGAGTTAACGTTTCGGGTCTGGTGACTCTTATTCAGAACCATTCTGATCTTTTCTTCACAGATGCTGCCAGACCTGCTGAGCTTTTCCAGCAACTTCTGTTTTTGTTCTTGATTTACAGCATCTGCAGTTCTTTCGGTTTTTATTTACCATACTGGTGAATCTCCTTTGTACCCCTTCCAGTGCAATCACGTCCTTCCTATTGAGCCAATACCAGAACTACACAGAGTACTCCACCTGTGGCCTAGCCAAAGTTTTGTACAACTCCAACCTGACTTCCCTACCCTTATAATCTATGCCATGACTGATAAAGAAAGCATCCAGCATGCTGCCTTAACCAATCTATTAACATGTCCTGCCACCTTCAGGAATCTGTGGACAAGCACTCTAAGATTGCTCAGTTCCTCTGACCTTCCTAATGTCCTGTTAGTCATTGAGTACTCACATGTCTTGTCATGGTCTGATGGAAAGAAGATGGTCCTGTGCACCAGGAAATTAGCTTCTGTAGTTTGACCTGATTTAATTCAGAGTTTATTTTCTACCCAGTTGATGCCAAGACAGGACAGGAAAAAGTCTTAAAACATTGAAAATAAATCCTAAGAATTCAAAATACATAGTAGTCATCAGTATCTTTATTCTACTGCATTGTTATTTCAAGTTTAATCAAACTCCATCAAGACAGATTCTACTCCTCCAGTGCTTATCGTTGTGGACCAATTGCACAACATGACTGTAGAATGAGTTTAAATTAAAAGCTCTGATTTTTTTCTTTCTTTGTATAAATGGTTGGTGAAATTATTTAGAGATAACACAGGCTGGAACTGGAGGAACATAGGAAGCCAGGCAGCATCAGAGGAACAGGGAAGCTGACGTTTCGGGTTGGGACCCTTCTTCAGAAATGGGGAGGGGGAAGGGAGTTCATAAATAAAGAGAGAGAGGAGGGGTGGGGCTGGTGAAGGTAAGTGGGATGGTGATCGGGTCAAGGAGGCAGGAATGAGAAGAGAGGGTTGGTCATGGGATGAGGCCGGGGGTGGGGAGATTTTGAAACTGGTAAAATCCACGTTTAGGCCATCGGGCTGTAGGCTCTAGAGGCAGAGTATGAGATGCAGCTCCTCCAGTTTGGTGAAAAAAGTGATACTATATTCCTAGCTTTCTATTATTTCTATAAAGTCTGCTTCATATATGCAAAAACTGTACAAAGACAATGCTTTTTCATGATACAAACAGTGCTACAATTTTAAGAGAAGATTTTAGATAAATTCACGTAAAAGTCATCTCTTATAAATGTTGACCCCATGATGTTTGTCCTAAACCAAAGATATATTTTCATATGCTTGGTGCAAGAGTTGATTCTGTGGCTGTTTTTTTTTTGTGAATCAAGTTCAGAAGTTTCAGAACCAAAGGGTAGAGCTTTGAATGCTTGGGCTACTATTTGGAAAGGCAAGACGGAAACCAATCAAATACTTCTCAATGTAACAACATAAGCAAAAATTAAATTCAGGTTACGTAGAAGCTGAAAATAATTACAATGATGACTAAATTGCTGTGATTACAAATGCTGATTCCTTTCTAAAAAGGGAGAGGATATTGCCTGAAACTTTGCAAAAGTAGAAAGCAGATTCACTGAGATATTGCTCATAAACTTACTTATAGAAGGATATTATTATAAAATGCAGTTATAGACTAGGATTTTTGGCAGCAGTTAAGAAAATAGAGTGAATAATCAATTTTGAGAAGTCTATTTAACAGACTTTGGCTCCCTTTTATAATGGGTTGTTTCAAATTAACTTGGCATTATCTCAGCTCAGGATTTGACAGTGTTATGGAAGGAGGGCCAAATAAACGAGTAAGAATGGTTTCACTGGTGAGCTTCAGTTGTAGTTTTAGTTGGGTAAAGCTTTATTGACTTAACATTTTGAAGTACAAGTCTTTCTTAGTATAACATTTTAAAAAAGGCTAAATTGTATATTGTTTGAATAAGTTAAAAATCTTGTCTTTCCTTTGTATAAACACACAAGATTTATTTTTTTCACTTTTGCATCCTTCCATATTGTAGTGAGTAATGTAATCAGCCTAGAAATGTGAAAAAAAGTTCTCGAGGAAAATATACTTGCAGCATAAATCTGATCCTTACAAAGCAAGACGATGATCATATTTAATCATATCTTAATTTGCAAATTGTAAATATGATTATTTTGTCTCTTTTTAATTCTAGTAATTTAGTGGCAGCCTATGAGAAAGCGAAGAAGAAACATCAAAACAAATTGAAAAAACTGGAAGCACAAATGATGGCAATGGTGGAGAGGCATGAGACGCAAGTAAGAATGCTAAAACAGAGAATTGCGTTGCTGGAGGAGGAAAACTCTAGACCTCAAACAAATGAGACATCACTCTAAGAATATATGCTGATGCTACTGATGATGTAATTCATCAGTTCTGCCACGTCGACTAAGAAGATTTAAAACATGAGACTAGGAAATGTGATTTGACACCTTTCTTCTAATCAGTATGCACATATCTAGTTCTCGCATGTAAAGCGCTAACTTAACATTTCTTGAGAAACCATGTATATAATAAGAATGATAGAAGTGGCACTGGACCAAATATGGGCCACCAGTAGCCTATACCCATTCCTAAGCATATTTGCATATCTAAAGGAAGATGCATTTTTAAATATGGTCCAATTACAGCAAATTGACATTTGGAATTGCTTTACAAGTGGCTATGTGTGACCATTATGTTGTATCAAACAGGCACAAAATTGTACAGCAAAAAATTTAAAGATTAATAGATGCTGCTGGGAGATGCTAACTTTCCACCATCGTTAATGTTCTGTTGAAGTTCATGAAAATTACAAATACGTTCTATCAAACATGTTAAACTATTTTCATAACACGTGAAGCAGCTGTACTACCATTGTCAAGGTAAGCTTAGTGCAAATTAATTCTTATGTTGAGGACTGGAATCTTTAGGGTCGAAGTGATGTGGGCTGTAGCAAGATTTGTGGCAGAATCAGATGCAAAGTCCAGCAAAGCCAATCTCACTCCATTTCTGTTTTGACAAGGAGTGTGGCTAGTTTCTTGCGAGGAAGCAATGAGTTCCCAATGAAGGGGAATTGTTGCTTGTTAAGTGTATTGTTAATGGTACAGCTAGTTTCATTAATATTTGGCTTCCTAGCTTACCAAATGTGCCAAACAAGCTAGATATCCAGAAATTTCAACATGGAAATGAAAGTGGATACCTGGCAAATTCAGCTCGCCACTTGCTCCAAAGGACTGCCATGTTGGACACAGGACACCAGCATCTCAGGGCATGATCCATGGACCAAGCATAGGCAACATGTCCTCAGACATTGGTGTCTGATGTATCAGTTTCTGAGAACTCATGTGGAACATCTGTGGTCCACTTACAGTACGTTTCTACCAGTTAGCGCAGCAGTAATTATCAGTGTAATGCTGTAACAAGAACACTGTACAGGATGTGTGTCCAGACTGTCCACTTGCTAATATAGTGCTCACTCATCTGAGCATACCTGAATGTTCACAGCATCCTTGCCTTGCTTTGCCTTTTTATGCTTTGCCCCCTCAGGCAGAGATACCAAGCTCATAATCACGCCATCTTGCTGTGCTGTTTAATGCAAAATTTGTCATTGTTGTCAGCAGGCCTCAGTCCAGGGACAGTCTTCAGTCTGAGCACAGTAAGTCATGAATCACCTCCAATACCAGTCCAGGGACTTAGAAATAGTCAGCCAGCCACTCTGGCTGTCAGAGCCAGGATCCTTTGAAGAGAGATGAAGAGCCAAATGTTAGGTAGCTCACCACCTGTCTTGACTCTAACTTGTTATGGGCTGAGTTCCTCCTGGAATGAGAGAGAGGTTGGTATTAAAGGGGATAAAAATGGGTGACACAGCTGCTACTTTTGGTACAGGTAGGAAGATATCCCAAGCGAGCGATTAGCAGCATTGAAGGCATGCTGGGTTAGTGTTGTCAGGGTTTGGGTGGGTGTCAGCAAGTGAGGGAAGATTTTGCAGCCATTAGTGAGAGTGGTGGAGATGAGCCTTGGTAGGAGATGATTGCAGTCATCGAAATAATGTGTGTGAGGTTTCAAAGAGAAAATGGTGGCAATTACACTGGTGCGGTGGAGAAGGTCATTGACCTCCTTTCTACATTACTGTGAATTCCTCCAGACGGTTGAGACTGCTTTAACCCAGCAACCTTGGACCTTGCTGGCATGGTCTGGTGTTATGGCCATGAATGCTGGTCCTTGGGGAAGAGGAAAATGTGTATGCACCACCCTACTCAGCAGGACTTCCAGATCCTTGCCCATAAGATAGGATTCCAATTTTCCCACCCATTTGCCTTGTCCAGGACAAATCAGGAACTCTGTTGGGTAGCTCTGAACTGACAGTACAGGCAGTTTTCCAGGCACAAGATTTGTTAGCGAATTCTGGAATATCTGCTGACTGGCAGGTTTTTTTGGTCACAGCATGTGGTGGCTTGGGTCTGGAATCAGATGTAATGGATGCCATAAAGGTGGGTAGTTAATGCAAGTTTAAGATGTGGTCATAAAACTCTCGCTCGGTCTCATGGTGAAAAACCCTTCAATAACTTGATGCAACTCAGACATGGACAAAAAAACGAAGATTCAGCCCAAGGTGTTTCATGTAACACTGTAGAATCAGGGAGCAAATAACTGGAAAAATGTTTCTGATCTCTTTGGACTACATTTATATTTTGTTAATCAATGTTTTTTTAGGAATACTAAAGTATTGTATCCCACCCACCATTTAATATTAACCAGTCCATATTACGTGCTTACAGAATGGGGCTACTTTGTGGTTAAAAATGAGGTATAGGAAAATAATCCTTGGTATTTTTCATTACTTTGTTTAAGACACAAATATAATTGTTCATAACTCTTCAATTAATCATTTTACCAGAATGGTACCAGTTACCATAGCAGGTGATATTTGGTTTGGATTATTATATTGTTTTGAACCAAAATAATTTGATGTTGTTGAACATCAGTCAATTAGGAGCTGATCACGTTGGTTTCATTTGTAGAAAGTTTTTTTCATTATTGGTTTAATTTCTTAATTCTACATATTATGGCTAAATAATCACAGAAATGGAAAACCAAGGGTACTATTGTTCGTATGGGAAAATTGTAGTGTGCATCCACGTAGCCCTTTCCACCATTTTCTCATGCAATTTTCAGAGAGCTATTGTCAAATCATTTTCATCTTTTGATAAGTGGATCAGTCAAACAGTATATTTACAAGTATTTTAAAGGTATATTTGGAGAATTTGCATCTTATTGCCTGATCTTGCATGAGTTAGAGCTCCAGAAATTAAACCTTGCAGTCTGATTTGGGAGTTTTAAATTCAACTCATAGTTCAGGTATTTATTTCTTTAAATTACATACTTTTGTTTAGTTCCAGAAGCTAATATCGCAAAAGATTTTGATGAATCCATTGCACGTTTTGGCATTGCTATTTTCTGCAGGTTTCTATTATCTCCATTAATTGGAAACCTATTATTTTGTGAATTGAAGTGCAGTAGTTCAAGAAGGAAGCTCACTACCATCATCTCAGGGGCAGCAAGACTGGGTAATTAATGCTGGCCAGATGCAGTCATAGTTGTACAACGATTAAACAAATTTCAAATGATTGAGGAAAATCACTGAGTTGAATTTATTGTTTAAACTAAATGCACCCTGCATTGGAATGTCTCTTCAGTGGACCTTTCTTATTTTAATATCTTTGAGAAACTGATATCCACATACAATCTTTCCATCAATCAGGATATTGGAGATGATCAAACAAAATAAAGCCATAATTATCTAAGATAACAAGGTGTAGAGCTGGATGAACACAGCAGGCCAAGCAGCATCAGAGGAGCAGGAAGGCTGACGTTTCGGGCCTAGACCCTTCTGTGTTCATCCAGCTGTACACCTTGTTATCTCAAATTCTCCAGCATCTGCAGTTCCTACTATCCCTCCCATAATTATCTAACCTCTTTGGCCTTGTCACACCCGGCTGAACAGTCATTTCTATTCTGAATGACTACTCTATTATTATGTAATATAACTGCTTTTATTTTGCAATAGATCGAAATCTGCTAAGCTTCTAAATGCTTCCCAAAGAATGAAAACTGTTGTAGTAACAATGATTTTTGATTAGAGTCTGTGAGCTCCTTGTGAAATTGTTACACCTTATTTAATAGAATAAAGAAAAACTTGTGCTTTATCTTAGCTTTCATGATCTCAGGATGTTCCAAAATGCTTTACAGCCAATAAGAAACGTTATTAGTAGGGAACACAAATCCAATTTATGCCTGGCAAGCTACCATAAACAGCAATTATATAAATCATTACATAATCTGTTTCAAATGCTGCAGAAGGAATGAATAGAATAGGATGATTCTTTGCCTTTGCTTTGTGTTATTTCACATTGCAGTTAATTTTCAAGTTCAAACACTGAAGATGAAAAAGAAATTAAGTGAAAATAGCTGTCACTTGAAGTGGTTCACAGAATTCTCCACTATGAAACCAACATTTGATCTTTTTTCAACAAAATTAAATCAAAAATAACATTAATACATCACACTTCTGGAGCACTTGGAACGGATTACTAGACAAATGGCCACTGTATAGCAGAGGCCTGCTGCAAAAGATGTACCTATGGCAAATTAGTGTTTATACCCAAATGCTAAGGCAGACTGGTGCTTCCACCTTCTATTCAAATACAGTTTTGAAGAGGTTAACATTCACAAATAAACATGAATTTTCATTTACACTTGTATATAAATATAGTAATTTCTTTTTAAAAATAAGATATACCGAAGACCCTGGTTTTCTATACCAAACTCAAGTGTATCTCTATTTCCTCTAGGCAGGAATAAAGTTCTGATTATGTCATATTTGTCCTGTCTTACAATTAAACATGTATTTGTGCATAAGTTTAGGACAATGTTACAACCATTATAAGGAAAGTGTTAGTTTATTTCACAAGCCTTACAGGAGATTGTTCTTGTAGTCAGGAGGATTAAAGCTTATAGAATAGAATTATTGGGGTATCCTGACCCAAAATATTACTTATTACAGGTGCTTTCCCAATTGATTTATCAAAACTAATTATGATATGCAGAGTATACTTTGTATCATTTAAAGATGGATACATATAACCACGTTTCAGTTCTGCTTTCATTTTAATAACTGTCCAATATGTACTGGAGTTTGAAAATTGTTTTACATAAAATTATTTAAAATATTTGTAAATTAGTGCGAAAGCAAGTGTTTTTAATTTATCATTTAAAAGTAGTATATGAGATAAAAGAACAAGATTATTTATTTCCCTGAGCATGGTTCATATATATGTCACTTTATTCCAGTTACACGTAATATAGAAGACAGGAGTTCCTGTTCATGATATAATGTAGATATTTCTAGAGCCACTGGAAGGGACATATCCTTGACTGAAATAAGAAAGCGAACCTTGAATACTAAAGGAAATGCAATCTGAAGTGAGTTTATGAATTGAATGTGGATATCTTCAAAGTGGCATTCAAAACTTAACATCTCTCCCCAGTCTATCTCTGATCAAAGTTAAAATCATGAAACAAAAAGAATGATTGAGAAGCACTAGTAAGTTCATATGCATTTATCTTTGGGCCATATTTACTATGTGTTTAGGATTATGTCAAGTTAGTTGAATACCACTTCCCTTTATTGAACCCTGTATTGTAAATTTGTGAAGGGTTTTTTCTTGGGGGGGGTGCGCGGGAGGAAGGGTGGTTCAGGGGAACCGGAAGGAAATTCTGAATGTGGAATCCTGGTCAGATAATATGAGGAATGTCACAAGCCGAGATGGTAAATATGTGACAGCACTATTGACTTACCTTCTACACTTATAGTAAGATGTACAGCTGTTTTTTAAACAAGATTTTTGGATTATATTTACATGTAAGAGGTCCAAATGGCTAGTACCTACACCACATTAAGTTGTTCCAGATCTGCTTGATTTGAATTTTGAGAATTTGAGCACCCCTGATCTTTGAGGGTTATGATTTGTATATCCTCCTATTTAAGTTTGTAACTGCTCGACTTTATAGTTTTCCTACTTGCTGTAAATGTAAAACGATTTGTTTTATAAAAAAAATGTACAAACTCTGCATTTATTTATATGAAGATACATTTATACTATTATTTTCCAAAAGGTCTTGCATCTAAAATAAATTCTTTTATTGACAAATATTAGTGCTAATAACTTAACAACATTGAAATTTCTATATGCCTGTTCGAAATCTTTACTTGATCACCTGTGTGTCTAATATCATATTGATTATAATATTGAGGTCATAGTTCAGAACCTAGTAATCTGGTTTCTGAGTTCAAATTTTGCCATGGCAGTTTGTGGATTTGGACTTTTTATTCCAAATGTATTTATTTAACTATGTTTTATTGTCACTAATATTCAAACAGATTTCTGGAAAAAACCCAGCTGGTTCACAAAGGACCATTTAGTGAAGGAAACCTTCCCTCTAAAAAAGGGCCTAACAAGTTTCTTGGCTATGTCAAACTACTGTAAAGAAGTATATTAAGAAAAAAAACTGGATGGACAACTCAGCATCAACCTAAGTATCTGATCAGGAGCCAAGAAAGGTATCATATATGACAATACAGTAACCCTGTAAAGTGGTTCTCAGTAACATCTGGAGACATGCCAAAATCGGGAAAATTTGCCAACACACAAAAGACAGCAGTCAATATCTAATACTCATAATGTTCGTGTCCTGTCCCAATAGTAGGGCACAGTAGTATATAATTCAGAAGAAAAGGATGTAAAGTCCAAAATATAAATGCCATGCAGTGGCATCAGATTAAACATGGGTCCTGAAAAACAATCATGTTAGTGTCAGTGTTAACTTTCAGAAAACCTCGTGTTGATTACCACTTATCACTCTTCCTTGGCTGATTACAAATGGCACAAATGTAATCTGGGTAGGTATCTTTAGTCTCCCTCATAAGGGTGGCTAATGACACTCTCATCTTCAGGACTCGCCTAGCTTGATCAGTAAATGCCAGATTGAGCTCTTGTATATGAATGATCACTGCATTGTCCTTGTGGAAATGACGTTCCTCCTTGACATTGAAAGATATCACCACCCCCGCCGCTTTTTGTTGGGTGACATTAGCAGTGTACTGAATGGCACAGGTTTAGAACAGATCAACCAGCAGAATATTATTTTCTACACTCAAACAAAAACAGAAATGACTGCAAAAATTCAGCAGATCTGGCAGCATCTGTGGAGAGAAAGCAGATTTTTTGCATCCAGTGACCCTTCTTCAGAATATTAACAGTGGTTAGTACTGATGCCTTTGCACCAGGAATGTGGGTTCAATTCCAGCCTTGAGTGACTGTGTGGAGTTTGCATGTTCTCCATATGTCTGCATGGGTTATCTCTGGGTGCTTCAGTTTCCTTCTGCGGTCCAAAGATGTGTAGGTTAGATGGATCGGCTATACCAAATTGCCCCATACGGTTCAAGGAGGCAGATAAACCATGATTAATGCAGGGTTACAGGGATAGGGTGGGGAAGTGGGTCTGCTCTTTAGAGGATTGCTGCTGACCTAATGGGTCAAAAGGCCTTTATCTGCACTGTAGGGATTCTATGATTTATAATGTTCCTATTACCATCAAGACAGGTAATCAACCCTTATTTCAATGAGTGCAGGGCAGCAGCAGTCATGCTGAGATGTGAGTTGCCAACATGGTAAAGCAGCAGCACATGCACGTTAAATATTTGAAGCAGTTACTAAAGCTAAGTAATCACAATCACTGGATCAAATCAAGGTTATGTATTCTTACAACTTCCATTCATAAATGGACAAGCACTGCACCTGCACGTTCCTCTCAAAGCCTCACATCGTTCTGACTTGGAACTATATTGCCAATTATTGTCATGGGTCAAAATTCTGGAACTCCATCTCCTACAGCATTGTAGATGTCCTTACCCCATATGCTATGCAGCAATTCAATGAGAGAGCTCACCACTGTCTTCTCTAGCTCTACTAAGGATCAGCAATAAATGTTTGCCTAGTCATCACTCCTAAACCCCTTGAATGAATTAAAAAAAAGGTGCAATTTTTCAGTTGAATATCAACTCAGTGATTGACTGTATTCGCAAAGAATGACAGAGTAGATTCAGAGTAGGCAGGTAAATCTGGTAACTATTGCCATGAAAGCAAAGTCTTGAATTTATATGGCGCTTTTAAGGTAATAAAATGTCACAAAGGACAGCCTGTAGATGTTTTTTTGAAGAAGAGGATGAATTCCCCCAAAGACAATGGAGCTAATGGTATAATTAGGAAGAGAAGCCATTTCTGGTAGTTATTTAGCTAGGTGAGTACAGTCCCTTCCAAATGGATGATGATGAAGAGGTATTGAAAAGTGTGTGGTCAACAATGCTTAAAGTTGATGTTAGGTCAAGGACCCAGTGGAGGGTTAGGTTACCTTTGCCACAGTAGTAGGATGTCTTTTATGACTTCGATAAAAGCGGTTTTGGTGTGGTTGGTACTCTGGAAACCTGGCTGAAGAGATTTAAACATAATATTCTGAAAAGATGGGCACAGATTTCAAAGGTGATAATATTTTGGACTTTGGAAAGGAAAGGAGAACTTGAAGATGTACAGAACCAAGGATTGTGTTTTTTTTTTTTAAAATTTTTAAAAAAAAGAGGAGAGTATCTAAAGAGTGACTGCAATTAATGACATCAGCTAACACCGGAGCCAAGAAGGAAAGAGATAACAAGGTATAGAGCTGGATGAACACAGCAGGCCAAGCAGCATCAGAGGAGCAGGAAGGCTGACGTTTCGGGCTTAGACCCTCTTTCAGAAATGGGGGAGGGGAAGGGGGTTCTGAAATAAATAGGGAGAGAGGGGGAGGCGGATAGAAGATGGATAGAGGAGAAGATGGGTGGAGAGGAGACAGACTGGTCAAAGTGGCGGGGATGGAGCCAGTAAAGGTGAGTGTAGGTGGGTAGGGAGGAGATAGGTCAGTCCAGGGAGGACGGACAGGTCAAGAGGGCGCGGGATGAGGTTAGTAGGTAGAAGATAGGGGTGGGGCTTGAGGTGGGAGGAGGGGATAGGTGGGAGGAAGGACAGGTTAGGGAGGCGGGGACGAGCTGGGCTGGTTTTGGGATGCAGTAGGGGGAGGGGAGATTTTGAAGCTTATGAAGTCCACGTTGATACCATTGGGCTGCAGGGTTCCCAAGCGGAAAAGAAGGAAAGATGGGTGGACTGTTGTTCAATGGGAATAGGTTCAACTGAGTAGGAAATATGTTTCATCACAAGATAAGCACATAAAGAAATGCGGAAATAGGACAGACACTGACAAATGATGTTTGCTCAGGCCATGGAGAAACGTTTGAGGAAATTTGTCCCAGTTTATTATGGAAAAAAGTGGCAGACACTGTTGATTGGACAGTTCTTAAAGCTAGTGATAAGAAATCCATAAACTCCTGGTATTTCATGAAAATGGAGGAAATGGAAGGGAAGGTTTATGATTTTGTGGGGGAAAAACCTCAGGATTAAAGTTATGTTCTTGAAGATCCTGGAATTGTTAGCAAATGAGATCAGGAATGTACTTCATGTCGTTCAGCAAGATCTGGCAGTGAATGGCTTCTTGTCTTTCATACCTCTTCAAGCTCGAGTAGGAAGTGAGAGCAGAGATGAGGCCTTTCTTTTACGAGGTGAATGACCAGGGTAAAAGAGTAATGACATTTTAAAAAGGACTATAGCATCAAAGGTTGAAGAGGAAATGGTTGAACAGATATTTACCTCCAAAAAGGCTGTAGTGAATAGAAGGTTAAAGGCTAGACAGTTGAATGGGAAAGAGTTTGTTTTTCCAGTGACGCACATTGAAGGAAGAGTTGGGAGAGGCACTGTGAACAGAAAAAATACAAAGAATTGATCAAAGATGGCCATATCAGAAATTATAAGAATTGCAAGGTCACATGAAATGGCAAGCTCATAGGAGTGACAATATGTGCTACAGCAATCATATCGAGGGATAGATTAATATATGTAGGAAAACAGTGAACGCAAGAACATAATGAGATGGAGGTTCAAATCATAAATCGCTTGGTGCAGAGGGAGGCAAGTGGTCAAGTCAGTTCAGTGAGTTTTTTTATGCTGTTTGGATCAAGATTTTAAATGAAATGAGAAAAATGGAACAAAATGAGTTGCTGAAAGGTGCGGCAGTGCAAAAGGAGTAAAGGATCAGACCAAGATATCGTTTAGTGATATGAGCAGAAACATTATTGCATTTGTCTAATGGGCTAAATTTGGATGGTATAGTCAGGAGGAGTGGAAGAATTTAGGGAGAGGTCAGGTTTCTGTTAACATCATCATCCACACAATCTGGGACCTTTTATTCTATTCAAGCGCAACTAGTATGTGATTTCCAGCAGTGTTCCATGGCTGTGTCCTCTTATCTGTCAGATACCTTGATGCGGGATTCTTGCACCTCACCATATTTAGCAATTGAGGATTTGGGTTCCTGTTTGAAATCAAGATGGATTGAGACTTGAAGGAGAAGCAGTTAGCAGTGGTATTCCTTCGCATCTTTTGGCTTTATTCATCTAGGCTGTAGAGGTTACGAGTTTGGAAGGTGTTAGATAAAAATGAGGAGCAGAACTCAGCTATTCAGCCCTTCAAACCTGCACCACTGTTTGGTATGATCATGCCAAATGCTCCATCTCAATGTCATATTCACACTTTCTATCTATATCCTTTGATGCCTTTTACTATCTAAAAAAAAATCAATCTCCTGGCAAGTAGGGAGTATTCAATCACACTCCTAACTTCTGCCTTGGCAGACAAGCTTTGGGGAGTAAGGAGGAGAGTTACTTATTGAAGGATTCCTAGCCTCTGACATGCTGTTGAAACCACAGTATGTGTATGGCTCGTTCAGTTTCTAATCAGTGTTAACCCCCCATGCTATTGATGGAGGATTTAGTGATGGTAATGCCGACGCATGTCATTTGAGTGATGGTGAGATTTTCTGTTATTGGAAATGATCATTGCCTCGCACCTGTGATGTAAATGTTACTTGCCAATTATCACCCTAAACCTGGATACCCTACATCACCTTCCCCTTTCAATATCTTAAATCACTTCACCAGATTCTAGTTTCCTGTCCCTAACATCAACCTTTCAGATTTTTTCAAATCCAACCTGTTCAGTATTGTTACCCACCTCTGAAGCAGATGGTACTTGAATCTGGGCCTCCACCACTGTGCCACAAGTGCCCTTTTGCCCCTTTTTATAAACAACCTGTTCAGCAATGTTTTACACGCTTCTGGAGTAGGTTAACCAGCTCAAGGTGACAGTTCACCACCACCTTCTCAAGGGCAGCTAGGGATGGTAATGAAATGCTGGCCAGCCATTGGTGTCCATATCACACAAATAATTAAATGTGGAACTTGAACCCAGGTCTCCTTGTTCAGAGACAGGGACACTACCACTGCACAAGATGAACTCCTGTCAACTTTTTTTTAAAATATCCAATCAACCTTTCAGATATTAATCAACCTGATCAAAGATGTTGTTACAGTTCTCTGGAATAGGTGGGACTTGAACCCAGGCCTCCTGTCTTGGACGCAGGGAGACTATCATGGTGCTACAAGGCCGCTCCCATCACCCTTTCATTTTGTTTTTATATCTGTCAACCTTCCTTTCTTCTCCTTTCGATTCTTCAACTTGTAAAAATTTAACCTATTTTCTGATCACTCTGTTCAGAGATATTATTACATATCCCTGGAGCAGGGATGGGACTTAAATCCAGGCCTTTTGGCTCAGAGTCAGGGACAATACCATCATGCCACAACAGTGCTCCTGTCAACATTTCATTTTTTTCCTTTCAAATTTAAATATTTTTTTTCTGAGCAACCTGTTCAGAAATGTTATTATACATCTCTAGTAACCTGGGCCTCTCAGTCCAGGGGAAGGGACACTACTACTGCCACAAAGGCACTTCTGTCAACCTTTTCTTTTCCTTTTATCATTGATGTCCAAATCCCCTACACCTAGACTCCCATCAGGATGGTTTGAGGGCTCACAGCTTCTTTTTTGAGGAAAGATCCAACCAGTCCCTAACCACCACCACCCTCTATTTGTTCTTGCATTTATAAATTTCTCCTTTAGCTCTACTCCTTTCGCCAAATAAAAAAATTATTTGCAATGAATTCTTGCTGTGACTGCATTTTTGTGGGATATGTTGGACATCCCTTATTCCAGTTCCACTTAGAGACGAGAAAATGAACCTTTTTCCAGTCCAGTGATGACGGTATTGGTGATATTTTCTGCTTTCATTGTGAACTCAAAAATTTTACTGACATTTTTCCAATTTCTACTGTTTACTCACTTTCATCTGGTCCACTCTCAAACTCTTCCCTTCTTAGATTTCACTGACTCTA